ACCGGCTAGGATCAAGAGGCCCTCTCAGAATCTCTCTAGTTTGGCCAGCGTCCGGGATAGAAAAGTGTGTTGTCCCCTATTAGGGCTGTATAGACACGCGAATGTGTAGGTGTGGTCCGCTATGGTGCCCTTTAAAAAAAGGTATCTGCCCTGGGGATCCGTCTGGGACACCATGTGTTGGATAGGCGTCGTCTGGGCGAAGAGTATGGCCACGCCTGCTTTTTTGGCAGCTTGGTGATTTGCGTAAAATCCTTGCGGGAATCGCCGGTTCTCCAATTTGGGGGCATCTCCCCCTTTGAGGTGAGTCTCCTGCAGGAACGCTACAGATGCTTTGGCGGCCCATAACTGCCTTAGCAAATGTGATAGTTTTTCAGGCGTGTTAAGCCCTTGTACATTGTTGGACCAGTAAGTCAGCCACGCCGGAACGAAGCCCCGACCGGTTGCCATCACAGCGTCGAGGGGGCGCCCCCGCCGCGGCACCAAAGGGGATGTGGGTAGGAGTGGGAAAGTCTATTACATGTGGTCGTGGGAAGTAGTCGCCCAGCCCCCCGGGGGCAACGTCGACCCTTAGCCGGGTGTAGATGTTCCTTTCACGCGGGTGAAATACCCGCGCGAGGAACCCCGTCTCTATGTACAATGAGGGTCTGTCACATTGGGGATCAATACAGCCCCTAACTGTAGTAGTGTCACTGTAAGATGTGGTGGTCGGTACCATCCCAGTGTCCGTCAGCTCCCTCCCTGTATGTCGTGTGTGCGAGTATCCAGATTCTAGGGTAAAGATGGCTTGGGAAAAGCGATGTGTGCCCCCTCCCCCTAAGTCCTGTGGAGAGCCTGCATTCATGTCTCCCCAGAGGTATTGGCTCGCTCCCAACGAGGGTTATCCACCTGCCAAGATCCCCGCCCATCCCCCGCTCATCAGGTCCTTATCTGTTGGTAGGATCTCCCTGGGGCAGCCTGATGCAGTTAGCCTCCAGGCGCCAGTTTCCCGGTGGACCCCAGCCCCCCCAACCGGTAACACGGGCTGTGTGTGATGGTGGGGTATCATGCCTCTCTTCTGGTGCTTGTCAGCCTGCGGTGTGGGGCCCCTCACTGTGTGGATCGAGAGCTCGCGGTTTAGCATCTTGGGTGGGGACCTAAAGGGGCGGTATGGGACCTTCCCTGAGTATTCCTCCATGCAGCATCCCCCTGCCTCTGTTTGCATGTCGGATAGCTAGCCGTGGAGTGGGTCACTCTTTCCCCCCTACAATGCTATGCCCCTACTTGACTGTCAGTTAAGCTGCAACACCCCACCCCCACCGCTGCCCCCCATTTGAGTTGTGTCTGCCCCCCCATGCGGACACCCACAGCACTCCGGCTATGCCCTGCTGCCGCCCCGGTCCCCCCGTGCAATCAACCCATAAGCCCCACACCACAGACCGTATGCTTTACCACCCCCCGAGTGGCCATCTCGAGGCCCTCCCCTGCAGTCGTACCTTCCCCCTCCCCCACCCCACAAAAAACAAAAACAAAACAAAAACCACTACAAACAACCAAGGGGGGGGCGAGGGGGGAGGATATGCACACGTGTCCCCGGCCACAATGGTGTCCACCGGCCCTTGCCGGTCTTTGCGGTCCCACAGACCCAGTCCTGCCCCTCCAACCCCGCCCACCCAACCTATGGAGGATCCCCCAAAGTAACCCCCGTACAGGTGGCCTTCCATGGAGGGTACCCCTTCACTTGAACCCCAATCCGCGTAGCCACTCCCTCCCCACTCAGCTGCTGGCCCCCCCCTGACTCCCTGCTAACTTTTACGGTGAGCTGTCCACAACAGTACATACCCCGACAGGTGAGGCCCGGCCTTTGCGACTGGGTCGCCATGGGTCCCGCACCAGCAGAGCCGGAGATCCGTTGGGAGTCCCGTCGAGCCCAGCGACTCCCCGGGGAACCGCCACCCGGGGCCGGCAAGATGCAGCTACTCTTCAGGGCCGTCCGGCCCTCCTCTGCGGCGTTGCGGCCCAGGCTCCGGGTGGAGGTTGTATGCTGCTTCCGTTGGGCCTACAGCTCGTGCTGGCGGGCCCTCCAGAATCCAGTTCGGAATGGTGATATGGGGAAGGCCGGCGGCCCGGAGAAATCGGGGTACATCATTAGGCCATCTGAGGACATGCCACATGTTTTCCACTCGGTCCTGGAGACTGAAGGGGAAGCCCCACCTGTAAGGGATTCTTCATTCTTGTAGCAGGCGGGTAAGCGGCCTCAGGGCCCGTCGGGCATCCAGGGTGGTCTGGGAGAGATCTTGATAGAGGGATACTTGGGCATCCATATAGCGGAGGTCCTGTCTGGATCGCGCTGCTCTCTTTAGGTCTTCTTTGAGCGGGAACGATGTCAGAGCGCAGATCATGTCCCTCAGGAGGCCATCGCGCCTGGGGGCTCGCAGTGCCCTATGGGCTCTTTCGATGCCAAAATCACCTGGTGCCGCCTCTCCCAACAGGTGGGTGAACAGACCTGTGAGGATCTCATGCGGTATCTCTCCCTCCGCCTCCGGCAATCCCCGGATCCTGATGTTGTTGCGCCGTCCTCTATTGTCCAGGTCTTCAACCTGACGGCGGAAGTCCATGAGTAAGTTCCCCTGCCTGGTGGTCACCAGATCCACAGCTTGCTGGCGATGCGTATTTTGCAGGCGCTCTGTTTCCAGGGCATCCACCCGGTGCTCCAGGGCGGTAAGATCCGTGCGCACCACAGCAATCTATTCCCTAATGATGGCCCGCAGCTCTGCCACCATTTCTGACTTGTCTCTCTGGGTTAACATGCTGGCGGAGAGCCACTTATTATTCACTTATCTGATGTTCCTCAGTGCTGGGTCGGCACTCTGCCTCCTCTGACGTCATCCGGGGGAATCTAATGTGCATTCGCAGCAAGCGCTGCAAGCATTTTAGACCCTCCCATGGGAAAGCATTGCCTCAATGCTTTCATTTGGGGTTTTCGCTAATCAGCATTATTTAAAGGACTTAGAGTACCTTAAAATCCCAGAAGTATCCCGGAAAATCTGATAGACAGCCACTGGATGCAGTCTTAGTGCTGCAAAGTAATTATTGCAGTTTCTCAAAAACTGCAATGATTTACAGTGCAGGACTAAGTGGGACAGGGGCACTGCACCCAGACCACTTAAATTAGTTAAAGTGGTCTTGGTGCCCATAGTGTCCCTTTTAACCCCTTAAGTACACATGACATGTGTGACATGTCATGATTCCCTTTTATTCCAGAAGTTTGGTCCTCAAGGGGTTAAAGTGACATTGTCACACTGTTCTTACCTTTTCCCAATTGCTTGGGGTCTTCGCAAATTCTTTAAAGTATCCAGACGGTGACAGTGCTGCTTTAAATGCACCTTGTATGCGTTGTCCATCATGGAGATGTTGTAATAGGGCAGAATAATTTGCCTTGAAGAGAAAGCCAGGAATTAAATATTAACCTCAATATATTTAAAGGGATACTATAGGCATTTATTTCAGGAGTCTACACAATTCCAATAGAGAAGGCACCCAGAACAGGATGCACATAAGCATGAAAGGGAGGAGGGGGTGGAGGGATTTGTGAATAGCTACTACTACTCTTCCAGCAATGCAGGGAAATGGGGTGTAATGGTAGAAACATGATCCTTCTGCTCCCATTCTGTGTGCGATGACATGGGAATGAAGTATACGTTATTTAGTCCTCAATTTAATAATAATAATAATAATAGGCATTAGTGTGGTGAAATAATGTTTTTTTTTGCTTGAAGGTTATTGGCCTTGATTTCATATTTATGGATAAGCTTTTCAAATGATATAATATTTTTGGATAACCTTTTAAAATAATTGACTATTTTAAAAAACACTTTACTGTTTTTAACTTTTTGATATAGTGATATATTTTTATATTAATCATTTGAAATGTGTATCAAAAAGTATTAAACCATTTAAAAGCGTATCCAAAAAAGATTAAATCAAGGCCATTGTTTAAAAAAAAATGTTGATTCAAAAAAACTTTATCTGATTGTAATGTTAAAATCTCTTTCTATCTGCCTGATCTTATTTCTTAATTTGTAGAAAGGAGTCATTTATTACACAGATCCCCAAAAAAGGTAGCAGGTGAGTCATAAGCAAACGAATTGCACAGATCTGTAGCAGATAATCATGTACAGCTGATTAGTAGTCTATTGACCATATGCATACTCTAGAGGTATGTAAGATTCGGCATTTTTAGTACTTTGATGACAGAATTAACTACAATCGATTATTATTTTCATTAGAGCATTGATTGTAAAATAGTTTAGAGTTTAAACAATTCCACTTCCAGTTTCTATTTTCTACAGCACACAAGAATGATATCAAAAACACTGTGTCTTGACAGAATGGCTACAAAACAAAATGAAGGAAAGATGCTGTTTTGGTACTTTTGCCATTACTTAATTATGTAATAATAGTAATATTAATAATATAACTAAAGTGGTGATATATGGCCACAATTACTTTAGGCACAGCTTTTGACAACCTGCACACCTTTTGACTTAGGCCAGGCATAGGCAACCTTCAACACTCCAGATGTTTTGGACTACACCTCCCATGATGCCTTGCCATCATTATTGGTGTAAGAGCATTATGGGAGATGTAGTCCAAAACATCTTGAGTGCCGAAGGTTGCCTATCCCTGACTTAGGGGTTACACTTTTGCACATCCAAAGATATCCAGTAGCAAAGCAGATTCGGAAATATTTAGGGTTATAAGCTGGGACCTCTAATTCTATGTTCATTGTCATGACAAAAAGGGCTCATCTTTTCCTATCTGCGCTCCTGTTTTCTTTCTTTCTATTTTTTTATTGCCTCAGCTGCAGTGATTTCCTGGCTAGCTCTTGTTGTAGGTGTTATAAAAGCAACCGCCCTGGAGAAGGCTTTGGGAGTGGTGTCCTGCCTGTCACTGAGGGCATTGCTGGATCACATAACGCTTTTTGTTAGTTCATCCAACTCCCTAAAAGACAACTGCACATTACAAAACCCTGTAGAATTCTGATATTTTATCATACCTGTGCATGGTTTTTTTAAACATAGCTTTCTTTTTAAACCAAAAGATCAGTTACCGGCAGAAACCAGCCATGCACTATACAGTTTTGACCTAGTGAGACTCATTAGCATGGCGCTGGTTCAGGTTTGGAGGTTGAAGTCTCTCTGTGAGCATATCTAGGTACCAACACCCCACAGAGCAAATAGTAATATTACTGTTATGCATCGCCTGCATATCTCAAGTAGGACTTTGGGAAGTTCTCCTTGGGCACAAAATCTCAAGGATCATGTTTCCATAACTATTCCAGAGTTCCCAGCTTGATATGTGGAACTTCCTTCACTTCTCCATTAGACTTTCACCCAGTCTCCACTCCTTCAAAAAATCTTTGAAACCACACTTCTTCAGGAAAGTATATCATTTAAACTGTTAGCCGGTTTTCATCCCCCCATCTCTCCTGCAACTGTAAAAAATAACCTACTAAGTTCCCAGTGAATACCTTTCTAGCAACCTATTTCATTACCCCTACTTATACCCTTTGTGTCACTATACCCCACTTCCTGTAGCATGTAAGATCATTGAGCAGGCCCCTCAACTCCTCTGTTTCTGTGCGTCCATTCGTCTGGTTACAATTACGTGTCTGTTAGTCCACCGATTGTACAACACTATGGAATTTGAAGCGCGCTATATAAATAATAAAATAATAATAATAATAATATGCAAATGAGCACAAACAAGCATGATGTTTCAGACTATTCTAAATAGCTGCAGATACACTTAACAATGGGCATGGTGTAAGTAAAAGGCAATTACGTTTTGTCAGGCTCCCCAGCTGTCAAAATATGCAGAGACTCATGACAGTTAAAGGCCTCTATTTTAAGGAGGAGTAATTTCAGTGACAACATCCTCGTCAAACCATATTGCCCAGCACCCTCTCTTATCAGAAGACGAAGTACATCACAGCATTAGGCCTAATATATTGGACTCTCCCAATAGCAAATCAATCCTGAAATGAAACAGAACAGATTAACAATACATTTATAACTCAGACACAATTTTTCTTATCTGTACTAGATAACAGAGACAACTGAAAAAATAACCACTGAGGGATCTTTATCTAATCTGTTTTACTGAATCATAGCTCATTGATGTCTATGATGGTCAGTTTTGCAGATTACCTGCTGTTTTGCTCCGTTGCTTCCTCTAATTTGTATTTGCTTGTCACAATCCTGGCTTTGCTGCTTCTCGCCCATGTTTTCCGCTATCCCATCCACAGAAGAAGAAAGTAACAATGGCCTTCTTGATTTTAATGCTCCAGTGGTCATGTGACGGCTATATGAGTTGTAGTTCTCATATGGAGGCCATTTGCAGCAACCTGCCTTGTCAGAAGCAGTCAGTATAATTTCCTAAAAAGGTGACCAAATCAGACCAAACAAGCTGGCCGTTGCTCCCCACTCGCATTAATGAGTGGGGAGCCCATGGCCCTCATAACGGTTCACTGGTTGTCTTTCCTTGCACCACTTTTGGTAGGAACTAACCACTGCATGCCGAAAACACACAAAATGTCTTGCCGTTTTGGAGATGCTCTGACCCAGTTATCTAGCCATCACTATTTGGCCCTTGATAAAAAGTAACTCAGATCTTTTTACTTGCCCATTTTTCCTGCTTTAAACACATGAAATTGAAGAACTGACTGACTAACTCACTGCCTTATACATCCCACCCCTTGAAAGGTGCCTTGCAACTATATAATCGGTGTTATTCACTTCTCCTGTCAGTGGTTTTATTGTTGTAGCTTATGAGAGTATATCTCCATATCATAGATTGCAAGTTAATTTGAGCAGGGCCTTTCTCTAATTGCAAAATGTTGCATTATATGTTGATGATATATATAGATAATATTAATAAGCTAGTGCAAATGTGAAACGCTGGGGGTAGTCCATGGACACCAAAAAGAGGTAGTAGATAGTAAAACATGGGGTAGAGATATGGCACTCAAGAAAGCATAACCCCTACAACCACCTGAATTTAAAAACAGAATTTCACATATTAAGCCAGAATAGTTAAATTGGAATTCTCCTATTGACCTTTAATTGCCAGCTTGGGTATGTGGCACAAACATTTGCAAACCACTCGTCAGGTATTTGCAATTCCTGGTTTTATAAACCTCTACACACAAAGAGTGGCACATAAATCCCATCTTCACGATCTCACAGCAGACTTACCTATTTACACAAACTACTAAGTTACAAATTTAAATCTGATGGCTGTCTTTGAAAGATCACTAGTTTACTGTAAAATGTGGTAGTGTATTTCGATGATGTTTTATTTTAAGTAGATGCCTTAAAACCCACTCATTGTGCAGTGTATTGTGATCTGATAATTGTTCAGTTACACAGGACAATTCTCATTCACCATTTGAGCGATTCATTGATTTTGGACTTTTCACCAGATTAAACATATTACTTCAATGTAATTCAGTGTAATATCTGGAACGAACACAGATTTCCACTTGACAAACCTTGCAGAAACAATTTATTTTATGAAGTCCTCAGCTGACTTTGAAGTTTAAATCCTTCATGCTACTCTAACTCGATATCATTCTCGATGTACCTCTTTAAAGGGCTCCTCCAAGCACCATGACCCCAATACTGAAGTGGTCACGGTGGTGGGAGTCTGTTTGTGAAGGATTTCCTTTTTAAAAGGTTAACCCCTTTGCTGCTGGAGGTGTCACCAGCCAGACAAAGAGTTCTAACATGCCTGATTATCAACAGGTAGTCACTGGTGGTGCAGCCCTCACTCATTTCTGCAGCCTTTAATTGCTGACATCATCGGAGAGGGATTGTGCTGATGGAGAACTTGGCCTCTGAGCTGTAGAAGAAGAAAATTTCATCTTTATTCTTTTTTACGGGGTTGGGCACAGTTTTTTTGGTTTGAAGCTTAATTGTGAACCCTGTTTACAATTAGATCCTTAATCTGTCTAGATCCTTAATCTGTATGGTTTATTTTCGATCACAATATCTCCAGCCGGTTACACAAACTGTAAAAAGGATGTTTCAAAGGCTACAAAAGACAATAAGTATTTATTTTTGGTAGCTTGTTATATGTCCAGTCACAAGACTCCACAATCCGTTTCCTTCCTGTATTCTCATAACAAGCATCGGCAATGAATCACAGTTCTTCTGTTTCAATGCCGACACTACACAATCTGACAACAAAAACTGGAACTGCAAAGGAAATTTGTATGATTATGCTAACAATTATACTTTAGTTTGTCTTGGAAAAGTTCCATTACACAACATTACCTTCTTCCCTTGCAAATGTAATCTTTAAACCATGAATTGTAGTGAATTGAAAACTGCTTTGCAACATTTAGGCAACAGGAGATATGGAGAAACATTTGCAAATAAAAGTTATTTTTTACCTAAAATTAGTTGTTTAGTTTTTAATTCACTGTCATTCGCTGTTTAGTAAATAAACCTCTAAAATATCGTTTGAAGATTCTTTACTACGTGCCAGTGTATTCCACACAGGTGTTTAACACCACTTGCGAATAGTTGATCATATTACATATTTAGACATGTAGGATCTGAAGATGAGCAATCCCTTGCATAAATAGCCTTACACGAGGATTGAGTTACACAAGATTTACACAATAAAATAGGTTGATCTAACAGGTTGAATGCTAATCGAACAACACGCATATAATGATGTGGCAAAATTAGGGATTACTCTAGCTTTAGTGACTGAATAATCTAAAAAATTTTTAAAGACAGGAGGCGAATATTTGCTTATCTTTCTTTACTCAACCTCCCAGCAGCAAAGAAATAGTTAACAATGATGTTACAAAAGAGAAAATACAGGTAGAGCTGGAGCATGCACTTAATAATAGTGATAGTGCACCTACAGGTTACAAGTAAAGAGAGCAGCAGTCCCTGAATTAAAATATAACTTTTAATAATCAATTCTAAAAATAAATAAATAGTATCAAATATAAACAAAGTATAAAGCTTGATAAGGACAGATCTCCTATGTATAGAGCCAGGAGATATGATAACTAAGATAGATAAGGAGAAAAAATTCCCACACTTGAATAGTAGCAAGGGAACCGGGTAAGTGTGCGTTCATCGTTTAAATATCCCGCCCTCTCTTGAAAAGCCGCTAGTCGGCGAAACGCGCGTCGGGAAGAACTGAGGGGAGGGTGGTTTTGACAGTCAGGGAGGACGCTCCGATTTTTGATTTAAAACTTACATTTCTTCACCCTCCTCGAGATATTCATTGACCGTTTGTTTTTAGTTCAGGACAGAATCTCCTAGAGCAGGCAGTGATTACTAAGAGAAGAATTATCTTTGCAGCACAGTATCTAGTAGATAACGATCTCGACAGTGCAAGGACTTAGCACTTTGGGGAGAATGAGGGAACGCTGGGGTTTACTTTGGAGTGTAGATTTTCTCTATTAACCCCTTCCCTCCTGTACTCTAGCAGTGTGCTACTATTCAAGTGTGGGAATTTTTTCTCCTTATCTATCTTAGTTATCATATCTCCTGGCTCTATACATAGGAGATCTGTCCTTATCAAGCTTTATACTTTGTTTATATTTGATACTATTTATTTATTTTTAGAATTGATTATTAAAAGTTATATTTTAATTCAGGGACTGCTGCTCTCTTTACTTGTAACCTGTAGGTGCACTATCACTATTATTAAGTGCATGCTCCAGCTCTACCTGTATTTTCTCTTTTGTAACTTTATTCAGTAGGGGTTACCCCCCATTCTATTTCAGCAGTCTGACACCTTCTCCCTTTTTTTTTTCTTCTTTCATCAACTAGTTAACAATGATGTAAAAAACATTAACCAATCAGAGTGTACAAGCATAGAATATAGTGTCCTCAAGCTCCTCCCAATTCCTCTTTCTTTCTGTAGCCGAGTGTGGTGTAGATCAACCGTGTAAACAAAACTTTGAAACTATGTACAAACAGGAAGTCCTGTGCGTTGGTCAACCATGGAAATGAAACTGTGAGCTGCTGGACTCTTCACACTAGAAGGGAGTAGAAAAGAATCATGAAAGTATGGATTCTTGTACCAGAGTAACAGTTTGCGAACCTCCTTAAGGTGTACATTGACTAGAGATAATTCAAAAAGGTCATAATTGGAGGTGTAATCGTCTGATGTAACCAGTGTGTAAACCCATGTCATATGATGTGAGTATGGCATATGATGTAAGAATGTCTTATAGAGATGTATGGTTTAGTGTGGTTAAACTTACCTCGACGGGTGTGATAGTAAACAACAGGTGGGAAAATATTTGCCTCCTGTCGTTAATAAAATTTAGATTATTCAGTCACTAAAGCTAGAATAATCCCTAATTTTATGGCAAGACAGGAGGCTTCATATTTGCTGTTTTAACGCTCCTATATGATAGAAGATACAGCATGTGGCATGGGTTTAAAATAAAATGTTCAAAAGGTCCATTCCCTAGACCAATCCGCGGAAGCTGAGATATCTGAGAGGGAACTACCTGCCCGGAAGGCCGAGGATGCGGCTGCACCTCTGACTGAGTGAGCTCCAAAGGAGGGGTTGATGCCTGCTTGGATGAGGATCCATTTGATCCATCGTGCGACAGTAGGAGTGGAGGCCGGTTTGTGTGGTTTGATGTAGGAAACCAGGATGGGTCCAGTAGGGGGGCGCAAGGTAGCCGTGGAGTCCATGTAGTTTTGGACACAACACGCTACGCATAGAGCAGTCCTGCCCAGGAAGTAAGGGTAGAAAACTGATAAAGAATTATTTTTTGTACGTCTGGTGATGTTAAATTTGACCCTTTCAGGTGTAAAACTTACAGCATGAAAGTCAAATATCCGAAACTCTACGAAAGGAGAATAGGCATAGAAGTAATGCTAGTTTGGCCGAAAGTTGTCGAAGAGTCAAAGCTTCATTGGAAGGCCAAGATTCCAAGAAGTCGAAGACTAGGGTGACATCCCAAAAGGAGGAATACCTCCTAGCCAGACAGAGGGGTGTTTACCTATGGACATGTTGTCAATAGAGTTGTGAGCCGCCGAGATAGCGGAACAAAACACATTGATCGATCTATAGGATTTGCCCTGATCAAATAAGGTGGATAAGAAGTTCAGAATGGCTGTGAGGGATGCTGAAAAGGGATCGATATCCCTTTCCAGACACCAGCTGACCCATGTCTGCCATGCGGAAAGGTAGTCATATCTAGTGCCCGGTGCCCAGGAGTCCCATATGAGTGTCTGAGCTGTTGTTGAAAGTCCTGACACATTCCAGGATCCCCTGAAATGGTCCAGGCAACTAACGGGAGTCTTCCTGGAGAGTGAGAGGATGACAATCTCCCGCTGGGTTCCTGAGGATGTCGTGGCAGTGCGACAGTAGAATTGGATAGTTCACGGAGAGCTCCAGGAGAGTTGGAAACAGGTCTGGGCCCTCCATAATGGAGTTACAATGACTATCGTCACTCCCAGAGTTTTGACCTGTTGTATCATGGAGAAAGGCGGGAACGCGTACGTCTTTAGCCACGGGTGTAAAAAGGCATCTATTGCCCAGGATAGGGGATCTGGAAGCCAGCTGAAGAAGGCCTCTGTCTGACAGGAGAACCAATCTGCGACTAGATTGTCCGTCCCCGGAAGATATTCCACCCGTAAGGATAGATACCTCTTGAGGCAGAATTGATAGACGTCCTTCGTAAGGTCGGATTGTGAATAAAAGAAGCTGTATGTGCCAGTACAGTCAGTTCAGCTTGACCTCAAAATGAAGTGTCTCGTTATTGGAGGAATTGGATTGTATGCTGATTGCCAGGAGTGTAAGCTGATTGTATGCTTTTCATTTTCAGCTGCTTGCAGCATTCATATGCTTGAGAGCATTCGTATGCTTCTCCGGTTCGGTGGTTGTGGTGTCTGCTGCAGTGCTTGGAGTCCTCAGGGAGCGGTAGGAGCATCCTTCAACAGAGGTACCCAGTCGGGGTGCCAGGTGATCCGTTACAATAGATAATGGATCGTATCCCCTGTGATCGGAGTAGCACCATCACTGGTTTCATTAGTTTGGTAAAACACCATGGCGCTGAGCAAAGGCCGAAAGGCAGGCATGTGAACTGCCAAATCTCTCCTTGTTAGAGGAATTGAAGGAAGGCTTGGTGGGTGCGACCTACAGGTCGAATCTCGAGAACCAGTCTCCCACGCAGAGGAGGTCCCTTAGAAGATGGATGCCTTCCATCTTGAAATGTCGATATCTGACCTGTCGGTTCAGGTCTTTTAAATTGATAATAGGGCGATGATCTCCTGTCTTCTTGCGGACCAGGAATATGTTGCTGATGAAAGTGTGTGGAAAAAGCGATCTTTTGGTTGCTCCTTTGTCCAGCAGTTTGTGTAATTCTACTTGTAGTGTGAGGTTGTCTGTAGTGGACATACTCAGCGGTGTGGGTGGTGTCTCTTGAAAAGGAGTGGTTAGGAAATCTATTCTGAAACCCTTGACTGTGTGTAGGATCCATAGATCCTGTGAAAGTAACTCCCACTGTTGAAAAAAATGGGTTAGTCGGCCTGCTATAGGAATATTGAGAGAAAAAGGGGTTATTACATGGAGCAGTGCGTCCGTGAAGGGAGGCAGATCCACACCCTCGTATAGATCCCCTGTTGTTGAACAACTGCTAATGATATGGGCGAGTGGTTCCTGAGCTCCAATAGTTGTCCGTGGGACTAGGCCTGTAGCCTGTGAAGGCTGCTCTGCTAGTCGTTCGGCCTCTGTAATGACCAGCTCTCCCGGAGAAACGCTGTCTCTGTGAGCGAAATACTCTGCGTGGGGAGGATTGGGCTTTTGTCAAGGTTGTAAAGACTGATGCTATGCTTAGAAAGATCTCTTATAAAAGAGTCTCCAAAAAGTAATCCATTGGCTTCCGGTCCCAGTTCTCGGGATTCTAGGTCTGGTAACTTAGCATCCATCTTATATAATGCCACTTTGTGCCTCTCTGTGGACATAGCCACGGTGGCATTACCCAAGAAGCATAAAGCCCTCTGGGCCCATTCTCGCACAGCATGTGCATCATATTCTCCAGTGTTAGTAGCTTCATCAGCTAAAATAAAAATTTGCACAATGGGGCCAGCTATATCCATGAGTTTATCTTGGGTAGATTTGAGGCCCTGTTCAATGCCCTTACGAGGGTCTTTGCCTGATCAATTGAGGAATGTGACTAACATGGGTTTGAATTCTGGCGTGAGCGCCACTTTGTTAGGTATAGTTGGCTGAGGACATTCTGCTCTGAGCTTGGCATGTACTTCTTTATCTAGAGGCTTACGTAGCCACATTTTGCGAAAGTTGGCTATGTGGGTAGGTGGGTCCCATTCGGCCGAACGAGGGTGTTTGATGACCCTACGGTCGAAAAATGGAGTGCACGATGCATCCAAAAGGACGTCTGACTCGGTTTCTTTGGTTCTAGGAGAGTTTGTATCTATATAAGTTTCTTTAACAAATTCTGATGGGTGGTCAGGTAGTGCATTTGCTGTGGACTCCCCATCAGGTAATAATCATCAGCCATAGAGGTAGAACCCTCTAAAGGGTCAGAGGTGTCCCGGACTGAATGGGCGGATGAAAGCTTAAGGGACTTGGTGGGAGCCTTGCCCTTACCTGCTGATGCACTATTCCCTTTCCAGGGACGTTTACGGGATACCTCCTCCTGATCCGAAGGCTGAGAGTCTTGGGAGTCAGAGAGAAGGCGTATAGTGGGATTAGCTTCAGTAGAAGGTTTAGCCTGAAAGGCTGCTAAAGCCTTAGGGATGGATTCCGTAATAGAGGATATGAGCCAGGTGCGCAGTTCTTGCGAGATAGCAGGCTCAATATGGTCAGACATGTTTAGTTTGTAGTAAATTGCAGTAAATAAATAAGTTAGCCAACAATGCTGTCAGCAGGGGTCACCTACTATATTCAATAATCAATTGTGAATGCGGCAGTATATTAGTTAGTGGGGTTGACCACTAATTTATAGTAAGTGGAATAAACCACAATAAAAAAAAAAATACACTGGAGTTGGGGGTCACCCTGGGGTAATTGACACATTTTTTAAGGTATATGTGTATCAGGCAGAAAATATGAGAGTGGGTTAACACTATTAAATTCAATGATAAATCACCTTATTATAACAGGAAGTATTAAGTAAAAATAAACACTTTATTGTCAACTGAAAGTGGGGGTCACCCACAAATAACTCAGGCAATAGAAAAATAGTGGGGATGCTAAGTTTAAAATACTTAATATTTGACTAAGGTGGGGGTCACCCACAAATATACGCTGACAAAATAAAAGTACCCACAAAGCCCTCCTTTATTGTATATACAATAATAGCAGAAGTATTATTTTGAAGCTGTAAGAAAAATAAAAACAAATGTAAAAAGGTTCTAACGTGGGAACACAAACTGTGTGTTCAGAAGCTCAGTATGTACTTACCGATCCGGCGATTGTCAAGAGCAAATCCGAAGTGTTGGGACAGCAGACCGCAATGACGAATGAACGGGAGAAGCCGTCGCAAGATAGCCGCCGTAAAGGAAGGGCGGGAAGGTGAAAAAGATAGGAATAACGCAGCCGCGGGCTCATGGGAAGTAGAGTCCACAGCGGGTTATAGATTGAAAATGGCCGAGGTCTAGTGAATAGTTATGTGATACAAATAGGACCTGATGTAAATAAGCGTGTCCCATATAAAATAAAGTTAACTGTGATAAAAAAATAAATATACAAGTATAACAAAATATAAACAAATATATAATTAGCCTAAACCAAAGGCAATGTAATTGGAGTAGACTCACCTGGGAGGCAAGCAGCAAAGAAATAGGAATTGGGAGGAGCTTGAGGACACTATGTTCTATGCTTGTACACTCTGATTGGTTAATGTTTTTTACATCATTGTTAACTATTTCTTTGCTGCTGGGAGGTTGAGTAAAGAATGATAAGCAAATATGAAGCCTGTCTTGCCATAAAATCAGATCAAACTTGGTAAAGTGCAGAGAAAAGATTCTTTAACCATGAGTTAGAGAGAGAGAGAATGCAGGGTATATTTGACTATCAATAGCATGCATGCAACATGGGCTACCGTATGTTTTTATTCTCTCACAATGTTATCCTACCACTTAAGTTTTTCCATTGGATGTGAACTATGGTGCTTATATCCCATGTTACATCCATCAACTAATGCCAGAATTCCTGTGAATTGTTCACAAGAACGAAGGAATATAAATCAATGAGAGAAACCAGAATGTAAAAAGAAACTAGAAATAAAGATTGAAGGGAGATGTGGAGAAAATGCAGCAACATTGATTATTCCCAGGGCAGTAAAAATCTGTGCACAGCACTGGTTACAAGCATGCGCTGGGTTAGTAGTTTTTGTAAATACCATGCAAATCACCTAGTTTTGACTCAGAACATGACAATGGTACGGGGCTGTATTCTGAAAGATCTTCTGTAACTGGAATATGGGGTTCAAGAGTATGGGTATCCTAAAATCCATAGGTTTGTATATTGTACCTCTCAGAGGAAGGAGTAATGATTATGTATGTTAGGGATGTGATCCTAAGGTGCCCTCAACATATTCTTCGTCCATGGTAGAATAAAGTTGTTGCACCACCTCTTCCCCTGTTGAGGGTGGAGCAGTGAAGCACTAAGCACGTGTGTGCTGTGTTCCTCCATTATTACCCAGTTATCTTCTATCATCATGCAGATTTCAACAGGTTATGAGCCCAGAAGGAATGCTGGAAACCAATGGAGCAAGTTGTGTTTCGACAGAGATAAAAAGAACTAGGAGTTATGGAAGACACATTTCTTAGTACATCTACGATTGAAAACATTAAAGAAACCATCCTGAGTGAACCAGATGATACCAATGACATACATACGAATTAGCTGAGTTAATTTAATTCTTAGATGATAAGAGTCTGTCTTTAATAATGAAGGAGGCAGATGATTATGGAAGAAAAGTGCTTCAAATATTGAGACAAGGAAAATCCCAGGATAGTCAGTTTATAGTCAGCTAATGTCCCTTCTGAAAGTCATAAATGAGAGTGTGACGGACTATGTTATATGCATAAAGACAGCCATTACAACATTGAGAAATGTGGGAGAAATAATAATATTACTGACTTTGATGACTCTGAAACATTTGCCTGAATCATTTAAGCAATTTGCCATCTATCTTATGCAAGGTAATAGAAAAGTACCTTTTGTAGAGTTAAGACACAATTGAGAAGTTTCAAAGATACTGAGAAGTACTGTACTAGTTCAAACGGTGATTGAGTGTTAAAAGTGAACATTGTCACTCCAAGATTCAAAATTAAGAATTCTAATATTGTTTGTTACAATTGTGGCCAAAGAGGGCACAGGGCCAAAGCGTGCTCCAGTAATCAAAATGGAGCTTAGTCATTGTTGTGTAGCTACTGAAATAGCCCAACATATAGGGATGGAAACTGTAGGTGCAAGAAAATGCATAATGTTAAGATAACGTCAGATAACGATGGTATCAGAAATCAGAGATGACCAACTTGATGGGCTTATACTAGAAGGGCTAATTATTGACACAATGGCAACAATTCTGGCTTACTGCTAAAAGAAAATGACACATTCCATTTGACCACCTTACCAGAAGGTAAACTTTCAATGCGTGTATACAACAAAGAACAAAACTGATGGATCATAAACGTATATAGATATGTGGCTAAAGATTATAATCAAGCAAAGGGAGTTACATAGTTACATAGCTGAAAAGAGATTGCGGCCATCAAGTTCAGCCTACCTCATACATGTTTTTGCTGTTGATCCAAAAGAAGGCAGAAAAACCCAGTCTGTAGTGCTTCCAAATTTGCAATAAACTATGAAAAAAATCCCTTCTTGACCCCAAAATGGCAGTCAGATATCTCCTTGGATCAAGCAGCTATTACCCCACTAATTAGAAATGATATCCCTGTATGTTACGAAGATGTATTCTCTCCAACACAAAACATTACATCAGTACAAATCTTAATGCAACTAGCAGCCTATATTACTTTCTTCATCAAATTAATGTAAAAAACACTTATTTACATGCTCTAATTGTTTGTGAAATCCAAACAGAATGAAAAACTATTTTTTAAGTTGAACAAGTTATTAAACGGTTCAAAGCAGTCAAATACAAATTAGAGCAAAATGCTAACCACTGCGTGTACACCACACAGTATGAAAATTAAAAAGTGATGCTGATATGGGTAGACGATCTCATTATAGCTACAAATAATTAATCAATGCTCAAGGATATAAAAGAAATGCTACAGCAAAATTCAGGTTGAAAGACTGTGGAAGAATCAAACATTTCTTAGGCATTGACGTTGAACAAAGTGTCGGTCTAGTAAAGATGTACCAAAAGAGAAACATATCAAAGATTCTGGAGAACTTCAGTATTACAGATTGTATACCCAGATCAACATCATGGGGACAAAGGCTAGATCCTGATAATCACAATAATACCATGGACTGCAATGTTTTCAGCTGCAGGTTTAAGAAAACAGGGACCGTGCACTTCAATGAGATGAAGTGATCTGGGTGCCTATAGTGTCCCTCTAACTAAGAGTTCTGCTACAAGATGTGTAATCAAGACTTGAAACCAAAAGCATACAATGATGTTTATTGGGCCTCTCGTGAATTATTAGAGAAAATTTATTGATACTTACCGTAATTTTCTTTTCCTGGCTATTATTCATGGCAGCATTTAACATATGGGTTTAGCTCCTTTCTCTAACCCTCAGGACAGGAAACACAATCAATTAAACAATTAAGCATACCTTCCCCTAGTATAATAGTGACCCCAGTAGCATATATATTATTATAAAATACAAATAATAAGTAATTTAAATTAAATAATAATAAAAAAAATAATAACTTTTTAAAAATTATATATCTATATGAAATTTTATTCTAACTGTATTTTGATATTAATATATATATTTATATCAAAATACACTTAGAATGAAATTGTATATATATCTATGTATATATAAATAAATAAAAATAATACGAAATATACATATGTCCATATACAAAATTACATAAATAATTATATAAATATACAAGTAGACTTCAAATATATAAATATGCATATATATTTAAATTCTACGTGCGTATTTATGTAATATTTTTACATAATTCAGTAATTTTATTGATTGCAATTTGAGGGACCTGCCTGCCAACCCAGGCCGAAATTCCAGAGAATTTAATTTGCTAGCACTGTATTTTACCCTGTAACGTTCTACGACACCCTAAAACCTGTACATGGGGGGTACTGTTTTACTCGGGAGACTTCGCTGAACACAAATATTAGCGATTCAAAACAGTAAAACATATCACAGCGATGATATTGACTTTTTTTGCATTTTTCACACACAAACAGCACTTTTACTGATGATATAATTGTTGTGATACATTTTCCAGTTTTGAAACACTAATATTTGTGTTCAGCAAAGTCTCCTGAGTAAAACAGTACCCCCCATGTACAGGTTTTATAGCGTTTTTGAAAGTTACCGGGTCAAATATATGGGTCAAATATTTTTATATTGAAAATCGCCAGGTTGGTTACATTGCCTTTGAGAGCGTATGGTAGCACAGGAATGAGAATTACCCCCATGATGGCATACCAAAAGAATGACAACCCAAGGTATTGCAAATGGGGTATGTCTATTTTTTTTTAGTAACCACTTAGTCACAAACACTGGCCAAAATTAGCGTTCAATTTAGTTTTTTACTTTTTTCACACACAAACAAATATGAACGCTAACTTTGGCCAGTGTTTGCGACTAAGTGGCTACTAAAAAAGTCTGGACATAGCCCATATTGAATACCCTGGGTTGTCTACTGTAAAAAATATGAACATGTGGGGTGTTATTCAGAGATTTATGATAGATAATAGTGTTACAATGTCACTATTGATACATTTTAAAAATGTATGTTTTGAAACCGCAATATCCTACTTGTACTTATAGCCCTATAACATGCAAAAAAATTGCAAAAAAGCATGTAAACACTGGGTATTTTTAAACTCAGGACAAAATTTTGAATCTATTTAGCAGTTTTTTTCATTCACTTTGTAGATGAGTAAAAGTAAAAAAACATGTATTTTTTTCAATTTTTCATCATATTTTTTCATTTTAAAAAAAATTTAATTACTAAATTACATGAAATTATATAAATAATGGTATGCAAAGAAAGCCCCTTTTGTCCTGAAAAAAACAATATATAATTTGTATGGGAACAGTAAATGAGAGAGCGGAAAATTACAGCTAAACACAAACACCACAAAAGTGTAAAAAGATGCCTGGTCGCAAATGTACAACATCGCAAAAACAGTCCGGTCCTTAAGGGGTTAATATCCTGCTTCTCATTCCTCTTCTTTGTTGCTTTTTCTGACAATTTCATAATTGATTACATTGTTAACAAAAAAAAGATTGCAAATAGAATTACAAAAAAAAGATTGCAAATAGAATTTTAAAAAAAGATTGCAAATAGAATTACAAAAAAAGACAGAAATAAATTGACAGAAGAAATGCAGTAAGGAGTAATTTGGAGCAAAAAAGGATTAGGAAAAGCACAAGACAAGCTGAATTAAAAACACACTACACTTTTTATACCTAATCTCTTCAATTATTCATGTTGTGATGTTTTTTTCCTGGAAATGGGATGAAAAATCCTAAACTGTGAAGGCAGGTAAATTCCAACCATGGCTGAGTAGTGAGATGAGTGTACTGATGAATCATTTTGTGACTGAGACACAAGGCAGAAAAGAGAGAAGTAGAGTAAGCTTGATTAACACATGGGAGCACACTACTATAGGAGACTATTAGAAACTGTCAGGCAGTAAGACACTAATGCATGCAGATGGTGTCTCTGGTACCATTGAGCAAAAGGATATGGATTATTGGTATTTGTTGGTTATAATAATCTGCATAAAAATATATGTACCTAAATAACATGTAAAGAATCAGCAAGCTGCAATCTTACAATCTACCCAGCTGCAAAACGCTATACCTCTTCACAGTTTAGTTTTTGGCTGTAAAGACCCAAATTTGGGGTCATCTCTCGCTATCCCGTATTCTTCACTTGTCCTGCGTCTGAGGACACCAGAGACAAAGTCTCTGTGAGGCACAACATAAGTGCATCGTGTGCTGCGCAAACTTTACTGGAGGCATTCAGCATACGGACAGAGTGCTTTAACAGCACTCTGTATATGTGCAGCCCTCAATAGGGATAGTGAGTGCTATAACCAGTGCTATAACCAGTGATTCATGCCAGGCTGTATGTCCGTTTTTCTGATAGTGAGATAAAGAATTATTATATACATCCCTAGAACGGGGCAGTATATAATGGGATAGGGGGTTTTGTGGAACACCCACATAAGAACA